AATATTTCGGATCAAGTAATGAGCAAGCAAGTTAAGGATCTTGGGCCAAAAGCAAATCGAAGCACGAAGCCCAGTCCCCAAAAGAAAGTCAGCTGGGCGAAAGTTAATTTGTGGGCTCCTGATTTGCTTATATCGGCTTTGATGGAGTGTTTTATAGTTAGTGGGATTTGTGGGCTTTTTATTATAAATAGGAGTAGTAGTTCGTAGTATAGGTAGCTGGAGATTAATTAGTTTAACTTTTCATTAGTTTTAGTTTTAGTTTAGTTTTCTTTTCTCTTTTCTCTCTCTAATTTTTTTCTCTCTCCCTTAATTAAACTCTTAGTATTATTTTCTCTCTTGTTTTCTCTCTCTACAACTCTTGGTTTAATCTCAGTTATTTATTTTCTTTCTTTCATCATATCTCCTTTAATAGCTTTGATTAGTTTAGATTTAATTATGTGTGAGTAGTTTTATTTCTAGGGTTTATGTGATCTAATAAATGATATGAAGGGGTAATTTTGTGATTGTTAATTATCAATGCTTGGTTGATTTCCTATTGATTGTTTTAATGCTATGCAATTAGGTTTGGCCAGATTTAATTGTATCAGTCTAGCAATATTAATTCGAGATTCGACAGATGAGAATTGATATTTAGGCTTAGTTTCAATAGGCGGATTAATTTATAAATGGTTAAGTCGAGATTCGACAGATGAGATTTAATACTGGTAAATTAACTCTGTGATTATAATACGTAGCGAAAGCCCTTTATAATCTGATTAACCAATGCTTGATGATTGCTTATTATGATTTTCCCTGTAATATTGTTTATTAGTGAACCTATGCCCTAGGCTTTTAATATTTGATTTTCTCCCCACTTTATTCCTTTCGACTTTATTCTCCGTAGTTTAGATTTTATTCATAAAAATATTGGTTACTTAGATAATTTAGAGTATAATAATTAATTAGGAGTAAAAAGATCTGTTTCCCTGTGGAGTTCGACCCTACTTCCCTATCTACTTTAGTTAGAGAATTTAGGTAATTATTTTTTATTAGGGGATACGACTTTACCCTGTCAAAATTTGGCGCCGTTGCCGGGGAAACGGTTTTATTTTTATTTCTAATTATTATTAGAGTCTAGATTATTTTTAATTTATTTTTTTATTATTATTTATTTTTTAATTTTTAATTTTATTTTTTTTATGAGTTGAAAATATCCATGCTTATGTCACTACAAGAATTATATAATTTTTATGCAGCACCTAACTACTGTAGTTGTCAACGTCTTTGTCATGAAAATCCTGAATGCCCTTATAGTGAGTTTTTTGTGCGTGCTCCGGATGATTTTAGAGTCTTTCCATATACATATGATCATATTCAGAAACGATTAGTTGCTAATGAAAGTTATTGGAAGGCTCTTGATCAAAAAGTCTATGAACACTATAATAATATGAATGTTATTGAGGATGAAGAACCATCGGTTATAGAATTTGTGGTTGAAAAATCATTGGTTGACGAATCGGTGATTGAAAAATCATTAGTTGTAGAAACGGTGGTTGAAAATTCCTTTGTTGATAATGAGGTTATTCGTAAGGGTGGAATTTTCAAGTCATTATTTGATGATAAAGACAATGACTACCTCCATTCTTTGTAAGTGTCAAGTGCCTCGTCACTTTGTGCTTTAGCTCTGTGGAGTTCCTTTAAATCTTCCTGAATATCTAACACAATATGTATCAAATTTTCTTTAGAGAAATGTCTTAATTCATTAGAAGAGTACCATACCTCATCCTCATATTCTTGTAATTTGGATTTTACATCAGTCTTAGCTATAAGACATAGATGGGCCATTTCTTCTAATGGTTGATCTTCTTCTTCTTCTGAATCTGAGTCTCCCCATGCCGCCATCATAGCCTTCTTCACGTTTTCTTTTGTGAAGTAAGGCTTATAGACTTTTGACTCCTTGGCTTGATTTTTTCCTTTAAACTTCCCTTTGTCATTCTCCTTTAGTGCACATTCTCTTATAAAGTGATCATTTGAGCCACACTTGAAACAGGTAGTGCCTTTAGAACTTGCAACCTTCTCGTTCCTATCAAACTTCCTGTTGTTCATCATCTTTTTAAACCTTCTTACTAGCATAGACACAATGAATGGATGAACAATATGAAATTTGATATTCAAAATAGGTTCTTTAGTCTTTTTGATGACAATACAAATTTGAAAGAAAATCTTGAAAGACTAAAGCATGATAACACTCTTTTGAATATCTTTGTTAAAAATTGGTGAAGCAATTCCTAACTCTGAAGTTCTTCTTCGTGATCAGTATCCAAACTTTGAAAAGTTAAAATCTGATTTAGAAGAATTAAAAATGGATAAAGCTAATCTTGAGGGGTAACTTGAAAGAGTTAGGAAGGGTAAACAACTGATTGTATATGTAACACCCCAAATCTCCCTCTATGGAAATACTAGTATTATCCGTATAATTATACCGTAGAGATAGACTTAGGCGTATTACCGCCGCGTGATTACGCAAGGCTACTCAACTTAATAAAAATAACAATACTTTGCAGCGGAAACTCAAATACTCTTATTTATTAATATTAACCATAATAGTAACCAATGTTATGAGTACTCAAAATAGATACAAGACCAAAATCCTAATTTAGTGAAAACCAATCCCGGGACTCCAATGCATCATTTATTGACTTCACCTGAAATAACACTGCTTTCCATTACGGTAAACAGGGCGAACCAAAAAAAAAAAGAAGAACGAGTTAGCACAATATGCTAAGTACGATAAGTGCAAGATAATTAAACTCTATTTATTCGCAAACATGCTTTAAAACCAGTTTCCAATAATTCCAAACTCATGGTTTAAAACCAATTCTCAATATTCCAATAACCAATAAAACCAATGCCAATTATTTAAAACCATTTCCTCATATTAAAAACTAATTCCTCATTATAAACCAATAAAACCAGTAAAACCAATTCCTCTCCTAAGTGTGCACACCCCCCAAGCTAGTCTCCTTATGTTACAAGGCTATTCTTGAGGAAAGACCCGGTCATACAAAGTCCAAGGCCTTATCAATAAACCAAATCCGCATAGTGGGATTACTAACATGCTTATAAAGCATAATAATAAATCAATGATTCAATAAATCCTCTTTTAAATCCAACAATACAACCTTTAATGAAAACAATTCAAACTCCTTTTCCATAAATCCAACTTGCTTTCAAAATCAATCCTTTTTAAACATGAATAATAAATTAATTAATCAAAACATGTTATAAAAATCAATACTACAATTTAATTATTAAAACCAATCCTTTAAACATACTTTTAATTCATAAACCATAATTCAAGCAACATAAATCGTTCAAACATGTTATTCAAATCGATCACTTTCAAGGTATCTAGCCACCTAACGTACCTTGATCTTCGCTTAGCCAACAACACTTCAAAAGAAATCTCAAGTAGCTTGATAAAAAACACCCTACAAATAAATATAACCTTAATCAATATAAGGTTAACAAATAATCACAAATAATTAAATTAAACCCTCCCAACTATATGTACATGAACCTCTTAAATTAATTCAACATGAACATTATTAAAATCTGATTTTATATAATTAAACTACTCATAATAATTTTATATTAATCTCTCATAATAATAATAATAATTGAATAAGAGAAAAGGAGAAGAAAAGAATTGGATTTGCACAGGAAATAATAGGCAGAACTTTTAGAGGATATAACGCCTTTGATATAGCTCCGAATTGGGTAATTCTTGAGCCTAACCTCAAGGATTTTGTGAGAGCAACAACTTTATGTGAGACATTAATACCCAAAAAATGGACCAGAAGTGCCCGAAAATTGCCTTCAAAGATGAACGTGATGATTTGTGTAAAATTGAGGAGAAGAAAAGAAGAGAATTGGTGTGAAGAATGTGAGAGGTATGAAGGGGTATTTATAGGCTAGTATGAGCATGAATTATGGTAGGAAAATGTAGGAAGAATTATGGTAATTAGGGTTTAAGAGATTACTTGGAGAAGTGAGCAAAGATTTAAGGAAAGTTTTGATATTTGAAGGGATTGTGTATAATTGAATATGGAAGGTATGTATGTCATGAAAAATATTAAGGAAATTGGAATTACTTGGGGAATAATTAAGAAGAATGAATGGCAAGAAAATATAATGATTGGATATCAAAAAGATGGAGAATTAGAATTATGGAAAATAGGAGATTTAAAGAAGATAATTAAAAATACAAATTACCAAAATATTTTCCCAAAATCTTCATGGGATGGCCGAAATTTTTGAGCTTTCCTAAGCTCATATTTTCGGCCCTCCTATTTAGTATTTAGTAATATATTTTGCTAGTTTTAAGGAATTAAAAATAATTGTGTAAATAATATTTATTGTAATAAATAATTAAATAATAAAATACCAAATATTCACCAAATAATTTAACTAAATAAAAATCATATTTTCACATAAAAAATCCAAAATTATTAGCTAATTAATTGGGATTTTCGGACCTATTAAAATAATAATAACATATAGCTTTTGCCTTAATTAAAATATCCGAAATATATAAATAATCCGGTTTTTAAAATAGGATAAATGGATGATAAATCTTATCCAAAATAATGATTAGTTTTCAAAATACTTTTGGCGCCAAAATTCTAAAATCATTTTGGCTCCAAGATTTAAATAGTAAGTTGAATTACTAAAATATCCTTTTTAGAAAATAATAATTAATTAGGAAAATACGTATGAAAATATGGGGTATTACAGTCTACCCCCCTTAAAATAAGTTTCGACTCGAAACTTAGCCAAAAGAAACGAAAATCATTTTGAAATTATTGGTTCATGCACATCCTAACTTGACTCAAGACTCCAACTAAACTTAAATAAGACTCGAAATCACTCAAAAATGACTCGAAAAGTAGACGCGCGAAACTCTATCGCCCTCTACCCCCCTTAAAAGGAGTAACGCCCCCGTAACTCGACCACTAACCTTAGTCAAACAGTTCTGGGTAACGTTTCCTCATATCAGCCTCAGCTTCCCATGTAGCCTCTTCAGTTTTCTGATTTGACCACAATACTTTCACAATGCTCACATCCTTGTTCCTTGTGCTCCTGACCTTAGAGTCAAGAATCTTTACTGGTCTTTTCTCATAAGTCAAATTCTCATCCATCTCAATGGTTTCTGGTTGTAACACATGTGTCACATCAGGAATATACTTTCGGATTTGGCTCACATGGAACACATTGTGAACTCTTTCAAGCTCGTTAGGCAAATTCAACTTATAAGCCACTTTTTCCACTTTCTGAATGATCTCATATGGCGCTATGTACTTTGGGCTTAACTTTCCCTTCTTTCCAAACCTCATCACCCCTTTCATGGGTGAAATTTTCAACAAAACCTTTTCTCCTACTTTGTACTCCTCTTCCCTCCTTTTCATATCAGCATAACTCTTCTGTCGATCTTGGGCCGCTTTAATCTTTTCTTGGATCAACTTAACCTACTTCACCATATCCTCAATCATCTCTGGTCCAAGAACCATAGTCTCACTTATATCATTCCAAAACACTGGGCTTCTACGCTTCCGACTATACAATGCTTCAAACGGTGCCATTCCAATGCTTGCATGGTAACTGTTGTTGTAAGAGAATTCTATCAAATTCAGGTGGTCTTCCCAAGACCCTTGATACTCTATCACAGAAGATCTCAACATGTCCTCCAAGTCTGAATCGTTCTTTCCGTTTGACCATCTGTCGCTGGGTGAAATGATGTGCTCATTAACAACTTAGTTCCCATTGCCTTTTGCAAACTTTGCCAAAAGTTAGACAAAAATCTTGAATCTCTATCCGAAATGATATCCGTGGGTACCCCATGGTACTTCACCACAAACTTCACATATGCTCTTCCCAACTGATCCATGGTCCAAGTACTTCTCATGGGTATGAACACTGCTAACTTCGTCAACCTGTCCACTATTACCCAAATAGTGTCATTCCCTGCCTTAGTCTTTGGCAAGGCTCCCACAAAATCCATAGAAATCGAATCCCATTTCCACTTGGGCACCTCCAAGGATTGGACCTTTCCTTGAGGTCTAAGATGCTCAATCTTCACCTTCTGGCATGTCAAACACTTAGCCACAAATTTAGCCACTTCTCTCTTCATATTGGGCCACCAAAATGTCTTCTTCATGTCCTTATACAACTTATTTCCTCCAGGATGCATTGAATAGGGAAAATTATGGGCTTCTTCCATAAATATTTGCTTCAAATCACCATGATTCTACAGTATACACCATCTTCCCTTAAAACGAATACTTCCCTCATCACCAATGGTGAAATCCAACACTTGCCCTTCATCAATCTTCTTCTTGATTGCTTTCAACTTCTCATCTTCTAATTGGCTATCCCTTATCTCATCATAAATGGATGGTTGAACCACCAAGGCATTCAACATCCTTGCCCCTCCACCATGTTCCATCACCTCCAAGTTCAACTTATGAAATTCCATACACAACTGATCTGGGACTACCATCACATTCACCGTATGTTCTGACTTTCTGCTCAAAGCATCTGCCACCACATTAGCCTTTCCTTCACGATATTGAATATCCAATGTATAATCACTCATATACTCCAACCATCGTCTCTGTCTCCCATTTAAGTGCGTCCGGGTGAAAATGTACTTCAAACTCTTATGATCCGTGAAAATCCTACAAGTCACCCCATACAAGTAATGTCTCCAAATCTTCAAGGCAAACACTATTGCAGCTAAATCCAAATCATGGGTTGGGTAATTCCCTTCGTGAACCTTCAACTGCCTCGAGGCATACGCAATCACCCTTCGATTCTGCATCAACACACATCCCAATCCCAACGTCGATGCATCACTATACACGTCATATAGATCACTCCCATCCGGTAAAGCTAGCACAGGTGCTGTGGTCAACCTTTCTTTCAAGATCTTAAATGCCTCCTCACACTCTTGGGTCCATGAGAACTTATGCTCCTTTTTCATCAAACTTGTCATGGGCTTCGCGATCCTTGAAAAATCCTTCACAAACCTTCAGTAATAGCCTGCTAAACCCAGAAACTCCTTACATATGACACATTATTTGGGGTTGGCCAATCACTCACAGCTCAAATCTCGCTTGGGTCCACTAAAACTCCGTCCTTGGAAATCACATGGCCCAAAAATGCTACTTTCTTCAACCAAAAATCACACTTAGACAACTTGGCATACAACTGATGCTCTCTTAAACATGACAACACTTGTCTCAAATGCTCCTTATGCTCTTCTTCATCCTTTGAATATATCAAAATATCATCAATAAACACCACTACAAACTTGTCCAAGTATGGCCTGAAAATCCTATGCATCAAGTCCATGAACACTGCAGGTACATTGGTCAAACCAAATGGCATAACTGTGAACTCATAATGACCATAACGGGTCTTGAAAGCACTATTTGCAATATCTTGCTCCGCATTTCTCAACTGGTGATAACCCGATCTCAAATCTATCTTTGAGAATACCCCTGCTCCTTTCAACTGGTCAAACAAATCATCGATCCTTGGTAATGGATACTTATTCTTCACTGTCACCTTGTTCATCTCTCGATAATCTATACATAACCTCATACTTCCATCTTTCTTCTTCACAAACAATACTGGAGCTCCCTAGGGTGATGAACTAGGCCTAATATAACCTTTCTCCAATAAATCATCCAACTGGGTCTTCAACTCCCTAAACTCAGCTGAAGCCATCCTATATGGAGCCTTCGAAATAGGTCCAGTTCCAGGCACTAGATCGATAGTGAACTCAAAATCCCTCACTGGTGGCATACCAGGAATCTCTACCGAAAACACATCAGGAAACTCTTCTACAACATGAATACCCTCTTCACCTTTCTTTTCCTCACTTTCAACCTCTTGAACACTACACAAAAACAAAGGACAACCCTTCTTAACTAGCTTCTGTAGTTGCATTGCAGACACAATTCTTAACCTTGAGCTTTTCCCTTCCTTTTTACACACCACTTTGGTCTTACTTAGGCTAGTCAAGGTGACCTTTTCAGCCGCACAATCAATTTTTGCTTCATACTTTCCCAACCAATCCATACCCAGAATCACATCAAATTCATTCAAGTCAAACTCAATTAAATCAGCCAAAAACTCAACCCCAGAGATGGAAATAGGCACGCTAAAAAACAATCTCGAACAACTCCTCACTTCCCTAGACGGAATAGACACATATAGAAAAACTGACTCAGGACTCTCTAACCCGAGACTCCCAACTACTTCCTTAGAAATAAAAGAATGTGACGCCCCTGAATCAAAAAGACTTTCACAGGAGAAGAAATTATAAAGAAAACACCAATTACCACATCATTAGAAGACTCAGCCTGCCGACTATTCATCACAAACACACGACCCTTTGGGGCACCTCCCGCACCGCTACTGGTTCCAGCCTTGGTTGTAGGTCCACTAGACTGAGGTGGTTTACTAGGTGCACTAGACTCTTTCACCTTCCCAGACTTAACATCAGCTTCCTTCTTGAAACACTCATACTCACGGTGTCCCAACTTCTGACAGTAACGACAAGTTACCAGGTTTCCCTCACAGTCCTTCCCTGGGTGGTCTTTCTCACACGTCTTACAGAAATACTTCCTCTTGGGCTTCTCACCCCTTTGGTTCCCATTCCCTTTATGGTTGGACAACTGTCCCCCATTTCCCCTTCCCAAATTTCCCCTTGTTGTCCCTCCTATCTCCAGAATTCCCTTGGTAATTTCCATTAGGCTTGTGCCTCTTTTCACCCTCGTGAAAAGAGTCTGGGTTCTTCCTTTTCTCTCCCACCTGCTCCATTTCCCTCCCCTTAATTCCGTACAGATGGGATGCACGGCCATAGACTTCATCTAGGGTCTCAAAAGTCACTCCCTCCTAGCTTCCCTTGGAGGGTCAAGGTTAGGCCTTGCTCAAATCTTTGAGCCTTAATGGTTTCGGTAGGGACTACTTCCGGGGCAAATCTCATTAACTCAATGAACTTGTTGTAGTATTCACTGATTGACATGTTTCCTATTCTTAGGTTGGTAACTCCATACACTTCTGCTTTATAAGGTAGGAAGGGTAAAACTTCTCTCTCAAGGCTTCCTTAAACTCATCCCACCCAAAGTTTGGTCTTTTCAGCAACTCATCCTTTCTTTGGGCCCACCATAAGTCAGCTTCCTCCCTCAAGTAGTAAACCCCATTGTTCACCCTCAGCTCACTTGGGCAATTGATAGCATCAAACAGCTTGTCTAACTCCCTAATCCAGTTTTCAAGGCTGGTTGGGTCCTCTTTTCCCAAGTAAACAGGTGGTTTAGCTGCAGCTACCCTCTTAAAGACTTCACTATAGGCATCAAGCTCAGGATTTCGGTGTTCCCTGTTCACCACCTTCATGATGTTCTCAGTAATTTGGGTCAACTGCTTAAGGACCTTTCCAACTTTGGAACCAGTGCGCTTACTCCTTAAATGTTCCCTCATTCTTGGAGACATAATTCCTGGGTATGATTATTATACTTGGAAATCAAAACAAGTTCTACTCGTACAAGCATTCAATTCACTTAATAACATAGAGAAATTTCAAATAATTCATTTTATTTCATTAATAATTAATGAAAATACAACTTTGTCACTTAGGACAATTATTGAAACAAGAAACAAAAACATAGTTCAAAAACAATCAAATAACACTATGGGCATAACCATCTTCAATAGGATCATAATCCGGATCATCACTTCTATTGCTTGGTTCGGCCATGAGAGTTGGGTTATAACCACTATAGCTTGGAATAAGGCCTGATGAGCTTGACCCAGATTTACTTATATTTCTGTCCGCGGGCAGGAGTGTAACTTGGGCTTTTTGTTGGACTTACATCCCCAAAAGGTTGGCTTGAAGAAGCTTTGGGGTTTTGGGCTCTTTCTTTTGTAGTTTGAAAACGAGTTCTGGGCCTTTTTGCAACATGAAAATGGGCTTTTGAGCTAGGTTGTTTGGAAAATTCATAGCTTGGAGTTTGGCTAAGAGAATGGTAATGTTTGCTCCTACCAAGAGGTGGTATGGACTCATCACTAGATTCCACATACTCATGTCGCTTCTTAGGGTATGAAAAAGGTACTTGGGCATTTAAGAAGTACATTTGGTCATTAGGTCCAAAGGTTCGATCTTTTGGGATCGTGGGAATTTTCACATTTTTCCTCCTAGGTTCATACTTGCGCTCCACATAGTGCAAGTCCCTCTTAAAACTAGCCATGGTTGCTAACCACTTCCCTTCATGATGGTGCTTCTCATTCCACATTGTTCCATCTTCCTTGATCACATCCCCATATTTGTCAAAAAGAGGTTGGTATTTCTCAATTCTAGGCGAATGGGCCAAGGCTAGAAGAACCATCCAAGGTTGTTGGGTTAAGGCTTCCTTACCATTCTTCTCATAAAGGGTCAAGGCCAAAGTACAAATTCCAGTTATGAAATCACTAACTGTGACTCCACTATCTTTCAAGTAATGAATGTCAAAATATTGGCGTCTCATTGCATCAATCATTTTCATCTGTTTCACACATACATGCAAAACAATTAATTAAGTGTCAAATCACACAAACAATCCAATTCAAAATCCATTTGCAATAAGCAACTCATAACTCAACCAAACATAACTCAAGATTACCCAACCATGGGTAATAACTCAAAACTTCGGACCTCTAGACCACACTCTAAGGTGTTTTAACACCAACTTTACTGCACACATAATCGCATACTCAAGTTTCAAACAATTTCAATTCTTTTTATTTTCGAAAATAATAAATATGTACTTGAATCAAGATTAAAGGACGGTCGAGCCCGCATCTCCTAGGAAAGTTACCTACGACGTTGAGGCGAGCCTTTCCTAGACAGAAAGTCGTACCTATTATAGGCCTCAGTAGAGAACTCGAGAGTCCTTTTCTCCCTCATCTTTCCACAAATAGGAAAATAGTTTTTAAGTAAAATAAAGCTTTTGACTCACGCACAAATGCGAAACTTTTATCTATCCTATATGCCCCCTTAAGTCTACCCACAATTTTTTTTTATTGCTACTCCAATTTTAATCTTTTTTGGACCTTGAAAACTGATACCACTTTGTAACACCCCCAAATCTCCCTCTACAGAAATACTAGTATTATCCGTATAATTATACCGTAGAGATAGACTTAGGCGTATTACCGCCGCGTGATTATGCAAGGCTACTCAACTTACTAAAAATAACAATACTTTGCAGTGGAAACTCAAATACTCTTCTTTATTAATAATAACCATAATAGTAACCAATGTTATGAGTACTAAAAATAGATACATGACCAAATTCCTAATTTAGTGAAAACCAATCCCGGGACTCCAATGCATCATTTATTGACTTCACCTGAAAAAACACTGCTTTCCTTTACGGTAAACAGGGCGAACCAAAACAAATAAGAAGTACGAGTTAGCACAATATGCTCAGTACGATAAGTGCAAGATAATTAAACTCAGTTTATTCGCAAACATGCTTCAAAACCAGTTTCCAATGATTCCAAACTCATGGTTTAAAACGAATTCTCAATATTCCAATAACCAATAAAACCAATTCCAATTATTTAAAACCATTTTCTCATATTAAAAACCAATTCCTCATAATAAACCAATAAAACCAGTAAAACCAATTCCTCTCCTAAGTGTACACACCCCCCAAGCTAGTCTCCTTATGTTACAAGGCTATTCTTGAGGAAAGACCCGGTCATACAAATTCCAAGGCCTTATCAATAAACAAAATCCACATATTTGGATTACTTACATGCTTATAAAGCATAATAATAAATCAATGATTCAATAAATCCTCTTTTAAATCCAATAATCAACCTTAAATGAAAACAATCCAAACTCCTTTTCCATAAATCCAACTTGCTTTCAAAATTAATCCTTTTTAAACATGAATAATAAATTAATTAATCAAAACATGTTATAAAAATCAATACTCCAATTTAATTATTAAAACCAATCCTTTAAACATACTTTTAATTCATAAACCATAATTTAATTCAAGCAACATAAATCGTTCAAACATGATATTCAAATCGATCACTTTCAAGGTATCTAGCCACCTAACACGTACCTTGATCTTCGCTTAGCCAACAACACTTCAAAAGAACTCTCAAGTAGCTTGATCAAAAACACCCTACAAATAAATATAACCTTAATCAATATAAGGTTAACAAATAATCACAAATAATTAAATTAAACCCTCCCAACTATATGTACATGAACTTCTTAAATTAATTCAACATTAACATTATTAAAAATCTGATTTTATATAATTAAACTACTCATAATAATTTTATATTAATCTCTCATAATAATAATAATAATTGAATAAGAGAAAAGGAGAAGAAAAGAATTGGATTTGCGTAGGAAATAATAGGCAGAACCTTTAGAGGATATAACGCCTTTGATATAGCTCCAAATTGGGTAATTCTTGAGCCTAACCTCAAGGATATTTTGAGAGCAACAACTTTCTGTGAAATGGCAATACCCAAAAACGAACCAGAACTGCCCGAAAATTGGCTTCAAAGATGAACGGGATGATTTGTGTAAAATTGAGGAGAAGAAAAGAAGATAATTGGTGTGAAGAATGTGAGAGGTATGAAGGGGTATTTATAGGATAGTATGAGCATGAATTATGGTAGGAAAATTTAGGAAGAATTATGGTAATTAGGGTTTAAGAGATTACTTGGAGAAGTGAGCAAAGATTTAAGGAAAGTTTTGATATTTGAAGGGATTGTGTATAATTGATTATGGAAGGTATGTATGTCATGAAAAATATTAAGGAAATTGGAATTAATTGGGGAATAATTAAGAAGAATGAATGGCAAGAAAATATAATGACTGGATATAAAAAAGATGGAGAATTAGAATTATGGAAAATAGGAGATTTAAAGGAGATAATTAAAAATACAAATTACCAAAATATTTTCCCAAAATCTTCATGGGATGGCCGAAATTTTTGAGCTTTCCTAAGCTCATATTTTCGGCCCTCCTATTTAGTATTTAAGAATATATTTTGCTAGTTTTAAGGAATTAAAAATAATTGTGTAAATAATATTTATTGTAATAAATAATTAAATAATAAAATACCAAATAGTCACCAAATAATTTAACTAAATAAAAATCAGATTTTCACATAGGAAAATCCAAAATTATTAGCTAATTAATTGGGATTTTTGGACCTATTAAAATAATAATAAAATATAGCTTTTGCCTTAATTAAAATATCCGAAATATATAAATAATCCGGTTTTTAAAATAGGGTAAATGGATAATAAATCTTATCCAGAATAATGATTAGTTTTCAAAATATTTTTGGCGCCAAAATTCTAAAATTATTTTGGCTCCAAGATTTAAATAGTAAGTTGAATTACTAAAATACCCTTTTAATAAAATAATAATTAATTGGGAAAATACGTATGAAAATACGGGGTATTACAGAATACAATGTACCTGAATGGATTGTTAATTCCCAAACCAAGAGAACTGAAGGATTAGGTTATAATAAGAAGAATTTCCAGAAAGAAAAGAAGTATGTTAACTTACCTAGTAGTATTGTCTGTTATTTCTGTGGTAAAACAGGACATAAGCAAGATAAATTTCCTAAGAAATAAAAGAGCACTTTAAAGAACGAAAATCATGTTGAACAAATTTGGATTAGGAAATATGATTCAACATTTGTTACATATGAACCCAAGGAAACCTGGG